TCTCCTGCTGCCTTCCCAGTAAATGTGGATTTTGTAGTGGCATCTTGCAGAAATTTCTCCTTGCCCTGGCCTTGACACTTTCCTAGGGCACTGGAAGAAAAATACACAATGGTTGCTGGTAGTTTACGCCTGGGACAGGTTGATGTGTCAGGCTGCCAGCTGGGAGGAGTGAGGCCCGGTCCGTGTGTGCCTGTGTGTTACCACACACATACTGGGGTTTGAGTGAGTCCAGCATGGTCACCCTTGGGGGCATTGCTCCAGACTCCTGTGTTCAGGGTTCCCAGGTGTGGGACATGCTGCATGAAATGCATGCTGTGAAAGCACTACAGAGGGACTGATCCCACAGCCAGTTTACAAAGACAAAGGCTGGCTTTTGTGAGGGTCATAAGCACCAGGTCAGTAACTTTAATGCTTGCTGGAGGCACTCCAAAACCCACACTGACCTCACTGTCCCTGTTTGAGTGCCTCAGCATCTGCCTTTGGTGAGTGCTGAGCATCTCATGTGGCCCAATGGCCTTAGCCACATCTGTGCCTGTCTGCCCAAGGAAACTGGCCTGGCCACACGTGCAGTAGTACCTGGTGTGGTGCAGGCTGATGCAGGTGAGGGTGTGGGTTTGCAGCACCCCAAGAAACCCTGGGCACAACTGCCCTGCAGCTGGGATGCTGTAGGGAGGGCAGGCAGGTAGCCACTGTGAGGGAGTCCTTCATCCAGTTGTCTTTGGGCAGCGGTGATCGCCCTGTTCTGCAGACAATACGATATCATCAAGGATAATGACTCCAACAACAACAAGGAGAAGACAAAGCCCTCCTCAGAGCACAGCACGCCAGAGCGACCGAGCGGAGGGCTGCTGCGGAGCAAGGTGAGTGGGGACGGCTGGCAGCAGGGGTGGCATGTGGTGTCTGCTGGGGCTTGCACCCTGCACAGAGTCTGGCTCTTTCCAGAAATGGAAACACCCTGGCTGGTGCTCTCACCCCAAAGATTGAGGACTTTTTAGGGTTCAGTGAGCCCTGGCATCGGGGGAAGTGTGTGTACCCCATGGGTGATTGCAGGAGAAACACTGGAAGAGACGACAAGGTGTAACAGCTAGGATAGCTCTTGCACTGCAGGTGGTACCTGACCTCTGACTGTAATGGAGCCTTCATCATGCCCCTCCAAGGCTGCACCTCTCCTGCACAGATGGACAAATGGACGTGCTAGGCAGCTGTTCTCATGGTTCCTGCACTGGTCTGTCATTGCTCCCTTTCTGCCTTCACTGCAGCTGGCTCTTGGTCATCACCACACAAGTCATTCCAGAGCCCCTTCCTCACCCTGATGGAAGTGCTGTGCCAGGCTGTGGATGGGGAGGGAGCAGTACCTTCATCTGGCTGTTCCCTCAGCACCTGACATTTCTCCCTTTGTTACCTGCTGAAGACAGTGATTTCTAGCCCCAGTGCTCTAATGGGACCATATGTTAGGGGTTTTCTTGTGCCTCATCTGCTGCCTCTGTCAAGGGTGGGAACTCTCCTCCCTATGTTGACTGACTGCCCCACTGATTCCACAGCTTGGTTTCCAGCAGATGTCAGGAGTGGAAACTTCCTGTTTGGACTTCCAGTCCCCAGTTCCCCTCCTCCAGATTTTTCAGCTTGCTGATTACCCCTTGCCAGGGTAATCTTCCTTTTGGATCCCTACTCCAAACTGACCCTACTCTGCTGGGGTCTGCTGGTCTTGATGCCTGCTGCAGGTTGAGGGGCTCTGACATCGGGTTTGATCCCAAGGGTGCAGCAAAGCAGGGTCTTAAAGCAGATTTTTCTCTCACAGAAGAAATCTCCCTCTGTCAATATCATTGAGGTGTAAGTGCAACACCAGCTCTGCCGTCTGGGATCTTAGGTGTCCTGCCAGAGCCACAGCAGGCCTTGGAAGAAGAGGCAGCACCAGGCGCGCTGCCTGGAACTCAGCATGCGACGATCCACGTACCAGAACTCCCGCTTTCCTGAGGGCACCTGTCTGCGGACGCGCACGGAGCCAGCTCCCAAGCCATGCATGCCGAGCGTGCCCTGCCTATCCCACACCTGGCCCTCCTTCCCTCCCGGGGGGGAAGCATGACTTGAGGATGGGTAGGGGCCACACCAGCAGCTAGGGTGGGAGGGAGCCAAGGGGAGGTGATGGGCTGAGGCTGTGGCCTGAGGGGAGGCCATGTCCCTGTGCAGCGTCTTGGCCAAGGCCCGGGATGCAGCTGTGGCACTGGATGCCTGCCCGGTATCAGGGGCAGACCGTGCTCTCAGCTGCCCATTTGGCCTTGGAGTTGCTTACAGAGAGCAGGAGCTGCTCCCCTCAGGGTCCCAGGGCTGCAGGAACAGGGCAGTGCAGGCACTGCCCCAGCACTGCCAGGAGAGCTGTGGCCTGTAGGAGGGTTTGTCAGTGGGGCTGGGCCCAGCCAGCACAGGGGATGAGTGGATTGCTGCTGGAGAACAGGCTCCAGTCTACCCTGTCATGGCTGTGCCTACTGCAGAAGATGAAGACGCGAGGGGCGACAAGGTGCCAGTGCTGTCACAGTGCCTGGCCAGCCCACAGAGCCTGCAGCGGGGCAGGGAGTGCTCGTGGAAGCCCCGCAGGGCTGGGGGAGTGGGCAGGGTCAGGGCATGGCTGTGGCTGTGCTATGTCCCCAGAAGGGCTCAGTGCTGGCACATTCAGGCTGTTTGAGGGAGCTGCCAAGAACTTTCTGAGCAGCACGGTGCCTGTGCTGCCTGGAGGAGACAATGTGGTGAGGCCTGCAAGGTCTCTGTTGGAGGGAATGGGGTGAAACAAGGAGGCTCCCTGCTGCCCTGGCTGCTGCTCTCTCTCCGTGCTCTGCTCTGCAGCCTGCCACAGACAGGCTCTGCAGCCCTGGACTCAAGCATCACAGGATCCAGTGTCTTCCAGGAATAAATCTCCCAGTAAAAGCACTTTCAGGACTTTTCCTTCAGGTCCTGCTCAGCTCCTGCTGCAGGACTAGGTGGGGAAGGGACAGGATAAGCAACTCCTGTGGCAGGGTCTTTTCAATAAAAGCATCCTGGCTCAAAGGCAGCATCAGAGCTTCAGGTCTCTGTGTGTGTCCATGCATGCATGTACAAGTTTTTGAATGCACATGTCCTGGCTCGTAGGAGATGTGTTCCTGCATGCTGTTCAAGAGCTGGAGGTGTTCCATGGTCACCTCACACCCCTCTGGTCCTCAAGGGAGACGTGCTGCTGCTGCTGCAGGCTGTCCCACTGAGGGTGATGTCATGGCTGCTTCTCTGCAGAGAGCAGACACATCCCAGCAGCAGGGCCAAGAAGGGGGACAGGGTCTGACAGGCTGCTGGCCAGAGGGGCCTGGGCTGCTCCCCGCTCAGGTGAGGAGAACGGTACCTGAGGAGCAACAGCACCATGGCAGTGGGATGCAGCTGCTGCTGGGCTATGACCTTGGCTGCAAGGAGCATGGCCACAGCTCCAGAGACAAAACACCTCGTTTTGCCTGCTTGCTCTTTTTAAGGAGGTACACTAGAAAAACTAGGGCTGTCAGGGAAATACAAGAGTTTTAAGAATGTTCTAGTGCCATGGAAAATGTTTAGAAGTTCTGTCTTGGAAAGTCATAGCAGACATGCTGCTATCATGAGATTTTTAGCCAGGCCAGAGGCACACACAAAGAATCAACGGATCAGGCTCTGTAGCAGAGGTGAGGACCTAGGGAAGATGCAAAAAAAAAAAAAAAAAGTCAAAATGCAGAGGTTTTGACCAAATAAAAGAACACAAGTCTGATATTAAATATAAAATCAGGGTGTGTTGTTGAGGAAAAAGCTCTTTCCCTCTGAAAAAAAAAAAAAAAGTCCCAAAACCCAAAAAACCCAAACCAAACAAAGTCACCACTTCTCACACTATAGTGATGCAGGAGGGCAGGGAAGTGCAGAGTTGAGTGCTGGAAGTTGAGGGCCTGACAATGACCTGCTCACCCTAGCAAGTTACATAATGCTCTCTACTTCCAGCTGAGGGAGAAAAGCCATGAAACTACATTCAATATGCAAAACCTCAAGTGAAAAAAAACATACACAGCTCCTGAGTGATCCATGGAACCCCAGGCCTCCCCAGTGCCTATGGCACTTGCTGGGAGACTGGCTCTGGCACCCCAGCTGCAGCCAGCCATCAGTGCTCAGCTGGGCTGAGCTGGGCTCTCAGTGCCACCAGCCTGAGAAGGACAGCTGTGCAGAAATGTGACAGGAACCCAGCAGTGAGGGGCTTGGCCGGAACACAGCTGCAAGCTGCCACTTGCCAAAGAAACCAGACATGCTGCAGGCTCCCTGTTCCATGTAGGGAGGATACCAAGTGCATGGCTTGCCTCTGTAGAGCACAGCTGGGGTGCAGCAGGGCAGAGACACTTCAGAGAAGCTGGCTCACAAGGTTTGTGTCTGCCCTGGTCTCAGCGTGGTCAGCATCAGCTTCTATCAGTGCAGGTGACATTCACAGGTGCTCAAGACATCAGTACAGCACAGCCTGAACCCGCTCTTCCCAAGTCACAAAGGCACCCTGGGCCCTGGCAGCCCTCAGCTCAAGGATGAATTGCTCCCTCAGGGCTTGAAGCCAAGGAAGATGTGGGAGTTCAGGCTCCATGAGCTTGGGGCACAGCAACCCTCACCACAGGCAGTGCAGGAGACACAGTACCCTGCATGCTTATGCATGGCGCCCATCCAGCACTCAAACCCAAGTGACAATAGTAAAAAACTCCATTTATTTCTCTCTAACGGCAGAGCTTTCCTTTAAAAACCAGGTCATTTCACTTGTGAGAGGGTGTGGGGCTGAACTGCAGGGGAAAGGCCTGCTCCAGGCCAAGAGCTGTTGCTCCCTGAGGGTGTACACTGCCCACATCAGGCAGGCTCAGAGCACGCACGGCAGCCCTGCATGGCCTGGCAGTGAGCAGAGCGAGGAGCATGGGTCCCCTGGCCCAAGCTGGGAGCAGCTGCAGCTCGAGGCGGTTCATGCAGGCGGCACAGGACAAGGAGCAGGTGCTGCAGCCTGTGCGCTCCGTGGCAGCAGTCCCAGCAGCCCCCAGTGCCAGGAGGGCAATGCCAGGGCAGGGCAGGCACTGGCTGGCCCAGGTGCAGGCACAGGGTGAATCCTGAGTGGCTGGTCCATTGTTGCAGAGATTTGGCTTAGCCCAGGGCAGTCTTGGGGCCAGCAGTCCTGGTGCCAGTGCTGGGGGAGTCTCCAGCCCCTCCCAGCACGGTCCAGCTGTCCGGGGGTGGCCCCAGGCGGTAGCACAGTAGCTGTGCTGTAGGAGAGCTCGATGGGGGCACAAGAGGTGTTAATTCTGAAAAGGGAGAGAAAGGAAGACATGGAGCATAAAGTGCACAGCTGGAAGCTCAGCACAGCCTGTGAGGGGAAGCAGATGTTCCAGGTGAGCATCAGCCCCCACCCCGCCTTACAGAGGACATGTTGGGGGATGAGCCAGTGCAGCACTGAAGAAACTTACCTGCTGGGCTGTGGAGTCCCCTCCCCAACTCCTCCATGCTGCTTTGGAAGAGAACACAGCATCCATCATACCCCAAGCATGGCCTCCTGAGGGACACAGCATGCTCATGACCCTGGCACGGCAGGAATGGCACAGCAGCAGCAGGCACTGGGGGTGCAGAAGGCCCTAAGCCCCCTTGCTACCAAGCTCTCTTCCCAGACCAGCCTGTCCCAAGACTGCAAAGCCCTATCTCCTTCCCATCAGGAGCTCCATGTCCAAAGGGGTGGTGTTTCATTGGGCTACCCATACAGCTCCAGTCTGTGCATGCACACTGGCTCAGCCCAAGCTCAGACCTGCCAGACCCAGCTGGGTGCCGTTACCGTGGAGAACAGCCATGATGGAATGGGCCTCACAGGCCCACCACCCGCACTTCTGCAGACCTGCAGGTTAATTCTCTGCTGCTGGACTGCTCCATCAGCTGCTCCCCAGCACAGGACACACACCATCAAGCTCAGCCCACAGCCCCAGTCCATGCAGAAGTCAGCATGACCAGGCCTCCATCCTGGTCCAACCCCCAGGGAAATCAGTGGGAGGAGAGGGACATCTGAGTCCCATGTGAGAGGCACGTCTGGACAGGCTGGCCTCAGGAAAGACTGGCAGAAACAGAGTAAGAAACATCTCTGGGTGCATCCTGGGAGTCAGCATCTGTACCCTAAATCTCTGCTGCAAAATGTGGACTGCATGGTCTGTTCCTCCACCGCTCAACCCTCTTTTCACTTGAGCTCTCAGTGGATAGAGCAGAGAAAGACAAGGAAGCTTCTCCCTTGGTTCCATGCAGCTTTCCTCCATGATCCCACCATGCCCATGGCCCGAGCAGCTCCCCTTGCATGGGGCACAGAGGAGACAAGACAGGGTTCATCAGAGAGATCCCTGAATAGAAGCAGCAGCTCACCACCTACCCAGATAAGGTTTCATTGACATTATCATCTTCTTCCTCCTCCTCCTGGCAAGCAAACAAACAAAAACCCTCCATGACATCTCACTGCATGGGCAGGTCTCTGCCAGGAGTGAGGCCAGGCTGCTCTGGCCCCTTCACAAAACAGTCACTGCCCAGGCACAGTACAAAGGTTTCCCACAAGCAGCAAAGCAAAGACTGGAGTGCTGGGCTACCAGAACCCACTGGGCTTGGGCACACAGGGACAGACATGCCATAGCTTGTCCCATGTCCCCTCCAGGTGCAAGGCCCCAAACACAAGCTGTAAGCATAGACCACGCTCACAGAGCTGTTGGCACAGCGCACCTCTGCCCAGGGACAGTGGTGGGTGGGCACACCCTACAGCTGGAGGGGCACGCAGAGATTACGAGAAGCAGGCTGCACACAGGTACAACCCCAAGCACTGCCAGGCTGGACTCATACTAGAAGCATGAGGCCAAGGACCAAGTATCCAGAAGTTCCCAGACAGGGACATAGTGAGACTAGTATGACAATGCTTCAGTTGCTGTGACCATGCAGGAGGTGCAGTGCAGATGGGCTGGGCTGAACCTTTGCCCAGGCTGGTAGGATGATGATCCAAGGATCCTCTGCTTCAGAGGCAGCTCTCACCCCAGCCATGAAACCAGGTGTGCAGCCCAGGTCCCTGTGTGACCGGCCCAACAGAGCAGGGCTGAGGCTGCAGCAGTGCTGGGCCTGACAGCAGAGCTCCTGCAGCACAGACACCAAGGAACTGCATCTGCTGTGTGAGCCACACAGCACAGTGCACCTCCTCACATCAGGCTGCCATGTGTGATGGGGGCTGTGCAGCTATCAGCAGGGCTCTGGGAGGGCAGGAGCAGGGAGCTGCAGTGGGGTCACTCTGTTCCTGCCCTAATTCCAGACAGAGGGGTCACTCTGTCCCTGCCCTAATTCCAGACAGCCCTCGGCATGGGCCTGACTTGCACATACTATACCCCAACGTGGTGTGTGAAGGCAGCACTCCCTGGGGGGGCTGGTTCATGGGCTCTGCCGGCCTCACTGCTCTCCAAGACACATGAAGGGTGAAGGGGCTGATTCTGCCTAGAGCCTGGGACAGGGCAAAAGCAGCAGAGTTAGTGCCTGCAACCTGCAGAAAACCCAGCTGGGAATGTACAGGCAAAACTGTGGATCAGGAACAGGGAATCCCTGCTGTGCTGGCAGGAGGGTGCAAACAAGGGTGAGGGGTCACTGCTCAGGCCAGGTTCCACCAGCCCTGAGCTGGGCTACAGCTCAGGCAATGTACAGCAGTTCAGCACAGAGAGCAGCTACACCTCTCACCCCAGCCAAAGATGGGGGAGTGACAGAGAACACAACCATAAGGACAACAGTCTCCCTGCCTGGTGTGTTTCACCAGCCAGGCACCAAACTATCTCCACTCCACACAGCCCAGGACATTGTCCCACACCAGAGACACTGATTCCAGAGCTACGCAGAGAGATACATCTGAGAGATTCCTCCTACCTGCATGTGTTGCTTCCCAGAGATCCAGTGCCATCTGAAAGGCCTGGGCCACAGTCAGAGTCACAGCCTGGGCCTGTGAACATGAAGGAGAGGGAATGCCTGCTTCCACCTGGGCCCTCAATCCAGGATAACCCCACTGCCTTGAAATACGAGACCCCCCCCAGCATCCCTTCACTTCTTTTCTCTGCAGAACACATAGATGGAAGGCCAGAGCTCAGTTCTGTGTCCGGCTGCCTCTGGGGCCAGCCTCCCCTTAGAGCAGACCCTTAGGAGCTGGGACAGGAAATCCCTCCTTTGCTCGCTGCCTGCCACTACAGCACATGAGCACACCTGCTCCCTGGCTCCAAAACCAGCTGAGGCCTGCAGAGGTAATGGCATTCTCTTGCTGAAGGAAAAAAAGCAGGCCCTTTCTCCCACCCATACCTCACAGAGCCACGAGCAGAAGGTAAGTGCTTACAATCTTCTTCTTGGGTGAGAGGAAGGCATGGCACTCCAGTGCCCCGCTCTCCTGGCTCTGGGCAACATAAGCAAAGACTTTGTTCTGCAGCTTGTCTGTTGTGCAGTAGGAAATCCTGTGGGCAGAGAGGAGCTGTCAGGCCAGTCCGGGACCCCGGCATGGCACTTCTGCTGCACTCCCAGCACATCAGCAAGCACTGCTGACAACCTGAGGTTTTCACCTGCCTGAGCTGACCAGGCAGCCCAAAGCCCCAGCAAGGGCCAGAGGCTGTCTGGTACCTGCAGCAGGTAAGAGATTACTGCTTCCAAAGGCACTCCCTCCTGTCCCATCTCAGAGTGCCCTGCAGTTTTCTGATGTCCAATCCAGTGTGTGAACTCGAGCACTGGGACAAGAGGAACACAGAAGGGTAGGTGACTGCCTCCAAGGACACAGCTGGAGGCCAGGCAGAGGGATGTCTGACCTGGCACATCAGCTCTGGTGCTAAGACCTACATTTTGCAGCAAAGAGATGTTCTGTCTCTGCTTCCCATCAAGCCACCAGACCGCACACTTACTGCCCCTCACACCCAGCACCCACAGACACCCAACCCAGCCAAGGACAAGTGGCAGCAGGAGAAATCAACCTCAGTTCTCACAGTAACTGCCTTTAGGCTGCCCAATAAGCTGCAGTCAGAAGGGTGGTCCCATGGCAGTGGAGGAGACATGCAGTCCTTTGCTAACTGTGGAGCTTTCCAATCACAAGCCTCAAAATCCTGCTGAATGCCAGAAGACAGAGGCAGGGCACAGGGAGATCATGGATGGGCCGATGAACTCAAGACCACCTGGGACCCTGCCTACACTCAGCCTCAGGCAGTGCTGGGAGCACAGCAGAGAGGGCATAGGCCTCAGGGAGCCAAAGACCTAAGCATGAAAGTACTGCTGACAGAAGACCCAGCCCACCCTGGCTGCTTGAATGCCCATCAGTCTTCAGCTAGCTGCTGGGGAACACCCAGCCCATACCTGTGACATGCCCACCTGTAGATAGAGATGTTCTCCACCATCTCCTTAGTGTCTGCATCCTGCAGTGAGATGCCCCTTGGAGAAACTGTAAGAATCACCTTCTGAAACTTGCGAGCTCCGACTCGTGCCTGGCAGTGGAAAAACACCATCAATCTCTGCAAACCTGGCAAGGGTCTTCACCTCATCCCCTCACTGGAAGGAGCCCTGCAGACTCTGTACAGTACCACCAGTACCACTCACATGGATACTTGCTGCTGTAGGGATGGGACAGCAGAGTCTGTCAATCAGGCATGCCTTGCACAGAACACTCTTCAAATCTGTTCACTCCACTGCCACACACTCAGGAAGGGACAGACCCCACCTCTCCCAGTACTTCACCCTTCTCTCCATGCCATGGCAGGGCACAGCTCTGCTCCCAGCCAAGTTCAGGTGTGGGAGCAGGTGGCTGGGGCTGTCCTGCAGGAAGACAGCTTCCTCAGAGCACACAGGCAGACACCAGTAGCTTCCTGCATGCCAGCCTCCTCTTGGGAAGGGCACAGTCCCTCAGTGGAGCTCAGGGCTAGGACACAAACACTTCCCAGTGCAGGGAGTGCAGGGGCTGGACTCTGACCCCACACACCAGGGCCCCAGGACCAGGTCTCACCGTGGCCACGATCCTGCGGATGGCAGCAGCAGCCATGTCTTCTCCTTTTGGTTTTTCTACCAGCGTCATGCCGAGATACTTGAGGGTGAAGCACATCCCCTCAAGCAGTGGCTCCTGCATATCGGCCCAGCTCTCAGGAAGCTCTGCAAAGAAAAAAGCTCTTAGAAGCCATGTGCCAGCAGCCCCACAGCTAGTCCTGCCAGAGGCACCCCACCCATGGCTCCTAGCAGCAGTGTTGCTCCTGCCCCTAGCAGGACATTCTCCTGGCTCTGTGACACTCTCATAAGAGGAACAGAAGGAGTGGGCAGTTCACCCTTGAAGCCTTAGCTCTCTAGCCCTGGAAGTCCAGGCTCTGTCAGCACTGACAGACAGCTCCTGCATATCTGCACAGGGCTGAGGATGCTGCAGCTCTCATTGCTGTCTGCAAAACCTTGCGTTCCTGGGTCTCATATGTTTCATTACAAACAAAATGTTCTCTGTAATGCATTCATCTCAGCTACCTGAGCTGCTGGCACACCTGAAGAGCAGCAGCATTCACTGCCACGTTCAGATCAAAATCCCCAGATTGGCCCAGTGTAAGCAAAGCCAAACCCCTTGGCATCTCATCTGCAGCAGCAGGCTGCCAGGGCAGGAGCAGCTTAGTCAGCTCTTGTGATCTGAGCTGGGGTGACTGGGAAGCAATGGCACCACAGATGCTTTGTTAAGAAAGTGATGGGAATTGCCAAGATATGTACTGTTCACACTAAGCTAATACTTTTCAGGGTTATTTTCACCTCTTCCCTGGGATTTGCTCCCTGAGTATTACTGGCACACTTGCAGAAGGGTCCAACTCATAATTGGAATAATCTGAACCCACAGGGAAATCAGGAGACCTTATTTGCACAGCATACTCTTGCACAAGTGACAACTATCAGGGAGACTGCCTGGTGCCATGCAGGCACCAGTGACTTCCACCCCAGGCAGCAGAACCCTGTATCACTCGAAACTCTGAGGACAGCCCATGTACACCAGGGCTGCCAGGGCAAGTGCTGCTGCTCCAGCAAAGCCTTGGGTAGCTGACTGAGAACAGCCAAACATGGTCCTCCTGTGCCACAGGGTGACTGCAGGGTCATGGAATCCTGGAGCAGTTTGGGTGGGAAAGGACCTTAAAGCTCATCCAGTTTCACTCCCACAGGCAGGACACCTTCCACTAGACCAGGTTGTTCCAGCCTAGCCTTGAACACTTCCAGGGATGTGTCCATGGGTGGGTCTCGGATCCTGCCAGGCTGCAGACAGCACGGCCTGGCACACTGGCAGAAGACCAGGCGCGGCAGCCCGAGGGGCCCAAGGCCCGCGGAGGCCGGGGCGGTCCCCGATGCAGTCCAGCGTGTTCCAGCGCCTGGCACGGCCGCCCAGGCCCGTCAGCCGTCTGCCGTGTGTGGCCTCGATTCACAAGTGGGGCAGGAGGCGACAGCCCGGGGAGCGGGGCAGGGCGGGCTCGGCCAGAAGCTGCAGCGCTGCGGTGCCCGGGCCGGCAGTGCCCCGGTCCCTTCGGCCCGACCCTCTCGCCTCCCCTAACCCGGCCACCCTACGGCCGCTGCCGCCCCCCAGTCCTCCAGGCCCCTCAGACTGCCGTGCAGCAAGCAGCGGCCGTATTCCAGCCCGACTGCGCCGAGCTGCGGGCTCCCCGCCCGGAGCGATGCCCGGCCCCGACCCCGCACCCGTCCGTACTCACTGCGCCGCCGGCGGAGACCCAGACCGTGCCGGGCGAGGCGCGGGCTCCGCAGCACGGCGCGCCCCGCCGCTCGCAGTGCCTCCATAGCGGAGCCTGGATCGAGCCGAGCCGATCCCTGCCGGTGGGGGGGGGTCGGTCCCCGCGGGCCCGACGCGCTCACGTCAGCGCGGCGGAGGCCGCGGGGTTGCCACGGCAGCGGGGGCGGGGCGAGGCGGGCCCGCGGCGGCAGCGGAGCGGTACTGGGACCAGCTCGACCCCGTGGGACCATCCCCGCCCCGGGCCCGGGCCCGGCGGAGGGCGCGATGCAGCTGCGGCACGTGCGGACCCTGCTGGCCCCGCAGGTCGGACCGGACCGGACCGGGCTGGGGGGGATCGGGCCGCGGGGGAGCGGGCCGGGCCAGGCCGGGTCGGGGAGAGCGGCCCTGACCGGTCTGGGGCGCATAGCGGCGACGCTGAGGCTATAGTGTGGCTGCTGAGATGTGCGTGCCCGCTGGGGCTCGTTCTGCCCTGCTGAGCCGTGTGTGCCCGCTGGGGTTTATTCTGTTCCGCTAAGCCGTGTGTGCCCGCTGCGGCTCGTTCTGTCCCGCTGAGCCGTGTGTGCCCGCAGGACGGGACGGCGCGGGTGACCTGCATGGCCTGGTCCGCCAGCAGTGCCCGCTTCGCCGTGTGCACCGCGGAGCGCGTGGTGCTGCTCTACGACGAGCAGGGCGAGCGGCGCGACAAGTTCTCCACCAAGCCGGCAGACGCCAAGGTGAGCGGAGCCGGGCCAGCCGGGCTGGGGATGGGCACGGGACGGGCAGCGCTGGGGCAGCCGGCCTTCCCACGCTCACACCGACCCTCTCTGCAGTACGGCAGGAAGAGCTACGTGGTCAAAGGCATGGCCTTCTCCCCGGACTCCACTAAACTGGCCATCGGGCAGACAGACAACGTTGTCTACGTGTACAGGATCGGCGAGGAGTGGTGAGTGTGCGGTGCAGTCCAGCATGCTCCATTCCGCCCTGCCATGGGCTCCCTTAGGCCTTGGCACACACTGTATTGCCCATCACCTGACCTGCAGGGAGCCACACAGGTGCCTGTAGGGTGCAGCAGGTGAGGTTTCCACGGCAGGGCCCTTATGGAGCCCGGGCTGTGCATGCAGCTAGCTGGAGCCTGTGTTGCCATCATATGTCACAGCTGTGCAGCGATGGCACACACCTGCCCCACTGCAGCCTCATTTGCTGGCAGGATTTGTGCTAACGGCACTCAGAAAGGCAGTTCACGAGGAGTTTGGAAGCTCAGATGCTGGAGGTCTTTTTGGCTTTTTGCCTACAGTTGTGATAGACTAGCAGCACGCAGGGCTTCAACGGACTGTGTTTGGCATTATCAAACCAGACTGTGTATAAACAGCAGGGTGATCAGAATGTGCAGGGTTGCTGATAGTAATTTGTGTTTATATTCTTCTGCAGGGGTGACAAGAAGGTGATATGCAACAAGTTCATCCAAACGGTGAGACCCAGACTTGTGTTTGACTTCATTTTCTCTGGCATATGTAGGAAAAAACAATGAGAGGTCTCTCTGCTCATACTCACAGGTGTACTTGGGCAAACTGTACTTGACCTTTAAAGATCCTAGGAGAATCTCTAAATTCTGAGGCATATATTGCTCATCAGGCTTTGGAGGTGTCCTAGTGCCTGAGTATAACAGAGTAAGTTGTTGAACAATCAATGCAATCAGTTACAAAACTTTGGGGACTACTTTAGGCATCAGTGGACAGACTATTTTAAGGGAGTTGAAAGGGAAAAATATGCGACACTCAGAGCCCAACTATTTTTCACAGGTTTGCAGCTCTAAACTCCAAGATGCCTTATTAAACAAAATGTAAAGTGTACAGAATTCAAACTGTGCAATTTCCACATGCTCAATTGCTTCAGGTTTGTGATTTCTGTCAGGTTTGCTCCTTGGCCACCTTTGTGTTCTGCTGCTCTGGCTTGACCTGCCTGTGTCAGAAAGCAGTTTGCCCAGTAGGTGTTTGACAAGGCTTGCCCTGAGATCTGTCTGGAAAAGGCAAAGGTGTTATGAATTCCTTGCACAGAAAGCCATCAGAGTGAGAAAATACAGTGCACTGACTACTTCTACCTTCAGAGGTAAAAGTCTAGCAGCTGCCCCTGGCTTTCCAGGCAAGTGCCATGACCATAGTCTCTGTGTCACCAAGACAGTTCTCTGCAGGGTAGGAGGAATCATTCTTCATGTCCAAATCCCCAGAAGACATAGAGAGAGCTGTTCCTGATGGAGCTGCTGGAGTCTCTGTGCCAGACTTTCTCAAGCTGTCTCTCAGGTGAAGGGTAGCCTCAGCCTCTGGGTTGAAAGCTTTCATCTCAGAGCTGGGTCATGGCCTGCCACTGTGGCTGCTCTGACTGCTGCAGGGAGCCCAGGGAATTCTGTGTCTCTGAGACAGGAAAGCTGCTGGTCAGCCTCTGTTTTGTCTGCAGTTGCGCTGCTGCACTGAGTGGTCATGAGGAAAAGAGAGCAACAAGGGCTTGGTGTCTTGGTGTCCATTTGTCCTGTTCCTGAACAGGCTGGCTATCCCAGGTGTGGGCAGCTTTAGCCTCCCTGGAGAGCTGTTTCCTTGTGTATTGCTTGCTGCCTGCCCCTCCAGCTGCCAGCCTGGTGGGGGCCTGCTCACCTCTCACAAGCTCAGATGCTGTGTGTGGCACATGTACAGGATTTTGTATTTGTAATGTAGAAGTTCAGTATATTTTTTCTCTCATTTCTCATTTCCCCATGCCTTTTCTAACATTTGTAACACATTCAATCCTTTATTTTTTTCTGATGCTGTATTTCTGGGGTTTTACCACTGTTCCTGGCTTTCTCCTGTAACTAAATACTGTTATTTACAAATTTTTGAAATGCTCAGTCCATATGAGAGATAGTTTATTGGGCCCTTTCCCTCTCCTGCCACTGGGCCCTCTCACACACACAGTGATCCCGGTGTGTGATCACGCTGGCAAGCCAAGCCTCCTGCTGAGGGCCAGGAGGACAAACAATGAGCACATCACCACTATGTGAGGCTTGTTCCCAAGCTTTTGTTGTGTTAAAGTGGAAAATAAGTCTGGCAGATAATGAGGGAAACAGGGGTAATTAAAACAGGTCTTGGTCATCGGTTGGACATTTAAATTATGAACAGTTTGGTTACCTTAGACATTTTGTTGTCTGCTTGTAGCTGTATTTGCTGATATGAATGATCAGAGCAGTGACAGAGGATGAGATAAATAAATGAGGAATGAATAAATGCTGATATGTATCTTAAGCAGTCCCAGATGCTTAAAATGGGACAGAGATCCAATGAGGCTGGTGCTGATGGCACACTGCCAAACACCAGCCTTCTTACTGACTGAACTTCTGCAGGGTAGATGTGAAGAGCTTCCATAAACTTTCTCAGTCCTCTTACAGTTGGGTTTTGTGGTCAGCTTTATTCATTCTGACTCCACCTCAGATTTTGAGAATACCTTTGGTTTGGATTTAATGAGCCTGTTTCTACCTGACTACTTGGTAGCATCTAATAACCATCTTACTTGTCAATGAAAAAATAAACACTATTTCTTATTTATCAAATAAAGATCCAATGGACAAGTATTCTCATAGCTATTGCAGAAGTTGTCACAGTGAAATTATTTTTATATTTTATACTTGTTGAAAAAAACCTTTTAAAACAGCCATGATTTTATACATTCATCAATAGCATGTGGCAAGCCTAGCACTGCTCAGTAATACTCGCAAAGGAACTCCAAACTGAACACATCCCTATAACTTTTTTTGCCCTCCTGTAGTCCTCCTGTGCTCAATTACTTTGCCCCAGCTCACTTTTATCTAATTTAAGCTTCAGCATGAAGTAAGGTTTGTCCAGTATCTTCAGCTACTGTAAGGCCTGTCCAAATGCCCCGTCTCTCCTGCTTGAATTATGTCTGTTCATGAACTATTTTAGGGTGGCAGTGGGGCAGGAAGCTGGGTAAGATGGAGCTCTTACCTCTGTTTTTACCTCCTCCTTTGCAGAGTGCTGTGACCTGCTTATTGTGGCCAGCAGAGCATATCATTGTCTTTGGTCTTGCTGAAGGAAAGGTAGAGAAACTTGTTATTTGCGTGACTTTCTTTCCCTTGCAGGGTCTGCCAGGGTCTGCCAATGGCTGGGCTAAGGGGTAGGAGCCATCACTGGGTACCACAGTAACTGCCACAGAGGGATTACACTGTGGACTGGAATTTTCTGGTTCACAGTTTCTGGAGGTTCTATTGGTTCTTTTGGATCTTTCTCCAAACTTTTCTAGAAATGCGGAAATGTGACTCCAACTTTTCCACTTCTATAACATACTGGAAGGCAATGTGCTTCCTGTGATTTCTTTCCCTGACAGTGAGCAGGGAAACCTCTGGGAATGTTACTTACACTGGGAGAGGATCCACATTCTACTGGTGAAAGCAACACTGATAATTTTCTCTTTCTCAGGTTCGTTTAGCAAATACAAAGAACAACAAGTCTTCCACCATCTATGGAACAGATTCCTACGTGGTCTCACTGACTTCCAAGTGAGTATGGCATTGCTTTGGACTGCTCTGCTTTGGCTCAGTCTCACACCTGCTGCTGGCATGGCATAACAGCGACCAGTGTGGGAGGTTACTAGTGTTCTTTTGCTGTCACTTTCTTGTCAAGATAATAACATACTGTGCTCTCCAGAGGGAATTCCTTCCTAAAATCTGGTACCTGGCTGTGCCACACCAGCAGTCTGATTGTTCTTCAAACACAGTTGAGGATCAAAGTCTCCATGAGCTTACTTATATACTCTGATGTTTTTAAATCTGTGACTTTATAAGGACTACATTTGTCAGTTTCATCTAAGTAATAACTAACATTAATCATGTTTAAGGGCTAAAGAAAGTAACATCATTCTGCCAGATAAAACCTTTGACAATTAGGAAAATAACCATAAAGTGCAGTTTAAAATTATTTTAATTAATAAGATTTCATTTCAACTACTTTAGTATTCTTTACCTAAAAATTGAAATGTGTCATGGTCCTAGGAGTGGAATTTTCATTAAGTGCTGTCATTCTGGTGACAGGTACATGATTGCTGTATTGCTACAGTGTCTATAGAATTTGTATTCTGTTCTTGAATCTTCTAATCTTCATTAAAAACTGTTTCTCTGGGTACATGGTTTTCGGCCTGTTTCTTTTTCTTTGCTCTCTTCTCCCTACTTGTGTCCAGAAGCACAATATATCAATGCTATAAAAAATGGACTTAGGCCTGGAGTTTTGTCCAGGTGTTTTTTGCCCACATTGTGTTTCTTTTAGGGATTTCCAATATTATAATATCCAGCCTCACTTCTGGAACAGTTCCAGTGCAAGAGCTGTTTGCTGTATCTTGCTGTAAGCACTTGTGAGCAGAGTCCTTATTCCACTGAAGGTCACTTAGCTTC